CAAACACACACACACACATATATATATATATATATATATATACATATAGACACATAAATACATACACACAGCCAATTATTTTACTTTCACACTTCAGGCCACAGAGAGAGAGAGAAAGAGAGACTTCCTGTCTGTGTGTGAGTGTGTGTGAGATTACGATGCCAGTTCTCTTCAGTGCTCATTAGAGACGTCACTGAGCCATAAAGGTTATTATTATGACTATGGCACAGAAAGCAGCTCTTTTCAGTAAAACCTCACTATTGGAATCAGTGTAAGTTTTGTAGTTCAGCTGAGGTTAAACAGAAACGTGGAAACAAACACAGACTAATCACATCTTCGGCAAATCCATCTTCAGAAAACTGGCCCAACAGTTCAGGGCTGGACTCCAAGCTGCTTGAGTGATTTAGCTGAGACCTGACATCCAGAGACTGACTAGTCAAGAACTTTTGGATTTCCAGTGCAGTACATGTGCAAGAGAGAGAACTCAGCCATTCTAATGTCAATCAAGCTGAAGGCTAATGAGATATTTCAGTCTGAATCGACTAATGCTGCCATCCCTAAAGCAAGGACACTAAAAACATCACCTCAGGTACAGTAAAGCTCTATTTTTAGAGATGCTCCGATGCCAGCATCAGAAATTCCTCTGATACCACCGATAACGTCAGATTGGGCATCTGCGAGTACGAGACATGAAAGACTGAGAGTTAAAAATGCGAAGCTGCATCCAAACCCACATCATCACAATTAAATGGTACAAACATCAACACAAGTTAATGAGGACTATAACAGTTTGTTTCATTGTTGTGTCATCCAATAAAAAGTTCTTAATCTAATTCATATGATGGATTAAAACACTTCAACATGCATTTTGTTTCAAGTCTGCCAACTAATGAGGTGCTGTGGTAGTTATGCTGAGATAAAGCAGTGTTTTTGTACTGAGTATCACATTGTTTCATTCTGTTACATCTGGTGTTGGGAAAACAACCGAAACTATGTCAAGAAGTTACAGAAAAGGATTATCCACTAGATGTCTTCTTTAAACTGTATCCGAAAAAAAATATGTGTTTCAATTTGGGATGTTTTTTGAGGCCTTGTTTTTTTTTAAACATACAAAATGTAAGTTCAGCCACTCTGTTTACACAGGAAGTTACGGTCGTACAGATGAGCAGAGCCACGGGGAAAGTGGATATGATGCAATTAAAAGGCAACAAAAATGAAAGAAACCTTGAATAAAATGTATTTCATTGGGTTTGAACATTTGAACATTGTTGGAAACATTTTGGATAATGTAAGTTAGAATAGTTAAATAGTAAACGTGTTTAACTGCAGGTTTCTTGCTCTCAGTGTAACCCCTTATCTGTAATGGGAGGTGCACAGCTGATAAACCCTGGAGACCAACTTGTTGGTTACTGGTTACTTTTTATTTGCTCCAGTTAAACAACATCAAGGAACTTTAGATCAGACACAGTGTTAGGAAAATGTTTGAGCTGGTGACACATTGCAGAACCACATTGTCAGGTACACGAGCCTCCTGTGGTCATTCATGATCGCTCTGAAATAAAACTGAGGGTGAGGGATAGGAACATTTCCGTTTGTGTGTGTGTGTGTGTTTTTGTGTCTGTCCATGTGTGTGTTTTACATGCTATTTCAGTATGATCCTAATGGCTTTACAGAGTGCCAGGCATTTTAACAGAGCCAGGGACAGCCTTGTAACACACACACACACACACACACACACACACACACACACACACACACACACACACACACACACACACACACACACACACACACACACACACA